ATTATTATTATTATTATTATTATTATTATTATTATTATTATTATTATTTACTAATTGTTTATCATTTCACAGAAAATTGAGTAGTGATATCCCTAGAAGAACTATTATCCGTACAATTATTATATTCATAATGTGTGGGAAATATTCCATGTTCGGTTTGGATAATTTATGTACGTCAACATCTGCATGACTGACTTAAATCCGAGATGAAAACGATACAAGGACCGTACAAGATCGTGCCAGGATCACGCTCTCGCTTTCAGCCTCGCGGCAACAGGAGCAAGAGACACGTGCTTTCCCGGAGGCCTATTGTCGATGCTTCATCAAAAAGCGATATGCGTCCCCGCCTTGGGTTAGCTGTATAAGACATGGGATTCCAGAGTTCATTAGCAGCCAATGTATACCTCTTTTCATTAATGATATAAAATGAGTGAAGGAAATCAGAGTATAGCCGTTGATTTATTTCACATTTACATACACATACCAGTGGTTTAATGCTACATTGTGAATGTAATAAATTAACCTATATTAGAGGGTTTTAGGCTCTGGTGGTAATGAGAATTTTTTATTTGTCGTTCGCCGTATTGATTCCCCGTTTTTGTTATGATGCTGTTATCTTTTACATTGTACTATCCATTTTAACATCTTAAAATCTGAACTGTCCATATTTTAATCTCTTAATATCTTAACTACCTGTTCATTTATTGCCTTTATCCATCCGTTCTGTTCATTTACCCATGTAAAGTCTACTGAACATTTTATATGGATTTTAGACTATAAATAAATATTATTATTATTATTATTATTATTATTATTATTGTAAAATATTACAAAGTTACAATCACTGATTTGAAAGATTCTTGGCATCAATCACAAAAGCTGGGCAAACATGGTAAGACACATTATATAAGATGCGTATACTGGTCACATGTAGCAACACGTACATGGCAGTCCACAATGTATTTCTCAGTGAGTAAACCAGGCCGGGGCGTGCACACTGTACTGGTGACCAATATGTTCATCTCTGCCCCCGGGGGTTGGACAAGTAGCTGCAGGGGATGCAACACTCACGTGGTGGCCCTATAAAAGACGGCGCACTTCGCTCTTTAGAAGCTCACCGCACTGTTGAGATAGTTTCAACAAAAAGGGATCACTGTTTTGAAACTCCGCTGCAATTAGCGTGGTAATACTATCATTTAAAATAGAAGTATCTTTGGTTGGTTTCCCATTTACATGAACTGTGAAATAAGTAAAGATCAGGCTCAGTTTTTTTCCCAAAAAAGATCTCGCTGTCAAACTGCGGTGGCGGAATAGTCCAGTAAAAAAATCAGGACCAATTAAGAAGAAAGAATCTCGACAATCACCAAGTTGCGTACAGAGGTGTACCTAAGCGTTTTTTGAGAGATAAAATTTATTGAAAATCTGCCGAGAAGATTCCAACCACCGCCTTGAGAAAGGGGAGTAATTGAAGAAGGGTCTAGAAGAACACTCTCGCCCAAGTTTTAACGTCAGTGTTTTTTATTGAGAGCTAAATCGGTGTTCAATATGGGCATACAGGAACTGCCGAAATACAAATGGGGTTTCAAAGAAGTCAAAACGCCTGCTATGTGGAAAGCAGTGGCGGGCGAATTTATTGGAACTGCCATTCTTCTTTTCACCCATTGTCAGTTAACTATCCGGTAAGTTATCGAGATGATATACTCAGAGTCAATGGGGTTGAGATTAAAATTCTTATCATGCCGGGATGTTTTTATGAACATGCGTACGCTTTATGATTCCTGTGAAACGTATAACTTCATCGTGATAGGTTCATTTCCCTTTCATTAGTTTGTTATTTTGATGCTTTTTATTTTTTATCATAAAAACTTAACGAATAGGGTAAGAAAATATATAAGAAGTATTTATATGCTTAATATAATGTCCCATGTTGTGCTTGGTTTTTGATAAGGACGTCTGAGTCTTCACGGCATTTTCACATCATACATTTGAATCTGTTTAAAACACAGTGATTCAACCTTCAGAAACATAAAGACGAAATAACGAGGCAGGCATACATTTAAATTCAAAGGAAAACGCAACGTTGTTGGATAGAATATTTTAAACACTTTTTGGTAAGAGCAAATTTCGACTGGGGTCATTCTGTGAAACATTTCGAGAAACCAGCCAAAAGAACGCCATCACACATTCAGGATCGCAGATTTCACAAAAACCTAACAGACTCTCGATTAAGTCCCCCAAAAAATATTCTTCCAACGCAGTTTACATTTTGCTGAGAAGTTATCGCCACATTTTTTTTATAAACCAGATGGCCCAGGTTTCCGGAAGACGGCAATATCGTCCAGAACGCTCTGGGCACTGGTTTCACAGTGGCGTCCATCATCGAGGGGTTTGGTCATCTTAGCAGGGCGGTGGTCAACCCCGCCATCACGTTGTCCTTCGTTATAGCCAGAAAGGTGTCGCCCACGCGAGGTAGGGCTTTTTTTTTTGGAATAGTTGTTAGAGATGCGTGTTTACTATATGTGTTTGGAAGCGTGGACTATCAGAGTGAAATTGTGTTTATTTTATTAAAGTTTGAACTTACCTTGAAGGTCTGCATATTTGTTTATACGTATATACTGTATGCATGTAGCCTAATATATGAGGAAACAAACAAACAAACAAATAGAAATATCTATACATTTTCAGGCTTATTCTACGTCCTGGCGCAGTTACTCGGTGGCATTGCAGGAACAGGACTCTCTTGGCTGTAAGTAAAAATAGGAAGAAAACACATGTCGGCAATTTTCGGGCGTTCTCGTACCTTTGTAACTCTTACGGTCGCAGTACAGGTCTGAAATGCTATGGGTTTATATTGATTGTTAAGGGGATAACAAGCCTCAGGTTTCCCCAGTTTTTATCGTATTATTACAAGACAGACGATGTTACAGAGTTAGTTATATTCTTTACTTGGAGACTACAAGTAGAAGTATAAATTACTATTTCATCGCCCTATTTCGAGACCATGATAAACCTTTTTCGTTAAAAAAGCTTATGCATTGGACTTTTTCTTTATCTGTAACGATTGAATGTCAAAACAGTGCAGGCAACGTACGCCTTCGTATCCAACTAGGCCAACAGCAAATAGTGCCATTTATAACAGACACCAAACGCAAACTGATAAAGCTCAACCAATGGATTATGCATTTTGTACTCGACTGAACATTTTCCCTTATAAACTCAAAACTCCGAGAAAACTGGTTGTGGGGTTCTTCTCCATTTTGAATTTTGTGTTTTTACTTTCATCATGACGACAGTGTCACCCCGACGGAGAGAGTGGGTAACTTTGGGGCCGTGTTCGTGCACCCAGATATTACGTTGTGGCAAGGTTTTCTTATGGAGACGTGCCTCACCTTCATGCTGGCGTTCGTCAACCTGGCTTCCATCGATGATCGTCTGCGTCCCGTCAACATGCCGTCGGTGGCAGTGGGTCTTCTCGTCTGCGTGATGGTCTTTACCGGGGTACGTACAAGATATAACATATTTTACTATTTTTAAGTGGACTAGCTGTGGTATAAGGAATTAAACCGATTCTTTAAATTCAAACACAAAACTGTTAACAGATAAAAAAAATAGATAAAATGAAAATTCTGTTTATATTTCTATTTAAAAAAATCTGTAAACGTGTTTGATGCCTCCAAGCCGATATTGAAATTATACCAGTATGTAGATGTCTTATGGTTATTTCAGGCAACCCAAACTGGCGCCTGTATGAACCCCGCTGTTGCTATGGGACCCCACGTGATCCTGAACCAAGGCTGGATGTGGGCACAACACTGGGTAAGTGGGAACACTTCCCGCACGAAAATGCAGTAGTATCGAATTAGCAAAGATGCATTAACGCAGTAGTGGTGTGGAGCATATTTGCAGTAGAAATGCAGTATAGCCTACTGCAATTCTACTCCAAAAACTACATAGGTTTGTACAGAGAGGAGCATTAATACAGTAGATTAGCAGCATGATAGAAGCATGTTTCAAATATGCTAATTAGCTCCCAAATCGAAGCAGATTTGAAGCATGTTTGCAGTATGATTGCAGTAGTTTGCAGTATGATTGCAGTAGTCTACTGCACTGAAATATCTACTGCGTTTTCGTGCGGGTTAGGTCACGTGACCGATAACTATCCAATCACAGGTTCAGAAGATCTATTTCAGATAGGAAACAACAACTACAACAACAACAACAAAAAGCCAGAATTGTACATATATTTTGCTCGAATAAGATAAACATGTTTTCAATACTCGTTAAATTGTAAAGTCGAGGTAAGCAATGACGAGACACATAACAGGCACGCTGTCCCAACTGTCTTGTTTTGTCAACCGCCTTAAGATTGGTTGCTTTCGACACCGAATCTTAATCACGTGATCTAAGTTTTAAGTTATGCTGTCAAAGTTTCAGGGCTGAATGCGTGCCTTTACCCATGGAGGTAGATGGCCAGATTACGGAGTCAGATGTGTCCCCGAGGAAATATGTTCTTTAGGGGAGGGATAGGCCTACCGTCTCAGGGGCGTATTTTGGCCATCTTCTGGGTCTTCTGGAAGACGGACAGATTTTTTAGTTTACATTGACGGGTATCTAATTTTTTCTGTCGGAAGACGGCCAAAAATGGAGAATGGATCTACAAAAATAATTTGGAAGACTGTCAGAAAATATCTCTGGATCGGCCCCCTCCGTCTGCCAGGAGCCATTCTAACTGTTACAAAATCGGTCATATAACAGATTGTGTAAAAATTATCTAGAAAAACTAAGGGGGCAGAATAAGAAAAGGCGGGATTAACTTATCGTGTAGGCCTACATGTAGCTAGGGGGCGTACTTCGTCTACTTCACCTATAAATCTTATTATTTCATGATAGATTTTAGGCTGTTGCATGGTTTATACCTTTAAGTTGCTTGAGGAAATATTTCTTTTTCTCCTAGTTGTACTGGGTCGCTCCCTTCACCGGCTCAGCCATAGCAACCGTACTGTACATGTTTTTCTTCACCTGGGGTGTCAAAAGTCTCGAATTTCCAGACGGCGACAAGGAGGCTGACCCCTACGCTGAGACAAGAAACGGTGAGTTGAATTTTGGGAGGAAGCACTACTCCTACCTTATATGAGATTTTGTTGAGAGAAAAATACTGCTTTTAATTCATTAAGAAACATTTGACCACGAAACAACATAAATATGAATGAATTTATATTTTTGATGATTTGAGAATTTCTGTTACCGTTCCTGGTAAAACGTTTCAAGTTCAATCATTCTGTTAAACCACGTTTTCGTAAAATTTCTTGTGATAGTTTAAGGGGAGGGGGTGTACCAAATGCTAGGGAAAAGTGGTGATTTAATTATAATTATTTTTTTTCGCTAGAACTACTGGACGACATTATTCACGCTGTCTCAACCACGTATAAACAACACGAAGCCCGCAGTCTGAGAGAAAGTAACGGTAAAGCTGACCGAGGAAAAGATTCGGAACCCAGACCTGCCTTCATTGCCCTCCAAGATGTCAACAGCTTTCCTAGTTAACTTGCACGACGAACAAATACATAAATAAAAACTGAAACGTTTCTTTGCTTAAATGTTTGTCGTGGAAAAAAATCGCCCGAAAAAATAGGGCGTTATTAGTTACGGCTATTGTCGACGAACATATGAAAGATATTCCATAAGGATTGGGTTGTATTAATCCTCTTAACTTTGTATTCAGATGACTTGATCTTGAGCTCTAGACATAAAAGTTGCCCACGCCAGTTTATACCAGCTCTAAATTTTGGTCATCTCGCTCACACATTTGGCTCACCTGACGACACTGAGCAAAAGTTTTGCGACCAACTTTTCTTAGCTGATTAATCAAAGCAGACAGCGGTTACCTGTAAATAGCTTTTATACTCTTAATACAAGTGAAGATACATCCTAAAAACACCACTGCATCAAAAGTAGTCACGATAGTTTAACATCAAGTTTAATGTAAAGGTTTGTCATGGCCGCCAGGTAGAAATACCAGCTAGTTTGTTAACATTAGACATACCGGTAGATCATAGTGTTTGAGTAGAATATAGGTCTACAGGGTCACATTGTCATATTTTATTCACATATATTTCATAAAATCTTACAAATAAAATATTTCTTGTACCTCCACTAGACCTCATGATTATCATAATTGACCATGGAATCTGGGCAAATGTACAGTATGTATAATGATTAGTGCGTAGCCTACTACTATAGGTTGTGTATTTCTTAAACGTACAATTTCCTCTGGAAATTTTGTCCTAAAAATGTATATGCCCAGTATAACGAGCAATATTCTAATGACCTCGTTGGGAACTGTATCATTTGTATATGTATATGCTGGGGCGGATCCAGGATTATTTGAAGGGGGTAAGCGGATGCGAAGCCTCTCCTCCCCCCCCCCCCCCCCCCCCTTGGAGTGTGGCTCGGGGTCCTCTGAAGGGCTCCGAAGACGTTTGGTATTTTGGAGGGCGAACGGTGCCATTTGGTAGGCCCTACGGTTTAGAACTAAGATTCAGGTAGTCAAAATTCTAATTTCAAGAGGGGACCAGAGGGACTTGACCCCCCCTCTAATCCGCCACTGTATATGTATGTATATGTATCAGAGTGCGTCAAGAGCGCACGAGTTCCCCTAGCCTGTAACATAGAAAGGCACGTGTGCTAAAATGAACAACAGAGACAAAGAAATAAGTGATACAATTTTATTTAGCCAATAAATACAGCTATATGAAATAAACAATATCGGGGAATTAATTGCCCTGTAAAAGCGTCGTTAGCCTATGTTAGTTTTTTGTAAGCATAATAAGAATGAAAGAAATTTAAAACTTAAAAAGGGACAGGGTGAAAGCTCTATTAAAAGAATAATAATTACCCTTAAAAACTGGTAAAAAAATTAAAAGGTTGTGAGCTGGATTGAAACTCTTGCTCTAAATAGCCGCTGTTTGATTTGCGACCCTCTCGAGATAAATAGATTGAATAGGAATGAGACCAGCCCCACCCTCTCTCTCTCTCTCTCTCTCTCTGTGTAGGCCCTACAGTTTCACGCCAATACAATTAATTAACACACACGTTAAAACAAGTTCCATAGCCCACCTGTTAAAGTTCGTTAAATGGACACGTTTCTAATAAAACCATTCAATTTCCTTAAAAGGTAAATTCGCTGCCTTGCCTTTTTAATAGACCTACTTTCTTGCTGTTATCACTCAGGGTTAGTCTAGAATTCAATACTCACGACTTGTGGTCTCTTTGTAAATTTATTTTTTAAAAACCGTACTTTATTGTAGTTTAGTGCCATGGTTTTAGTATAGTCCTATATTGTAAGGTAATAGGCGTTTTAAAAATGTACACGTACCTGTAGACCCAGCTTGTAGGCCTACCAACAGTTACATATAATCATAGAAGTAGGCCTAGTTCTATGATATAATAAATGTATAAACAATAAATAATTACTATTTTGTGAATCGAGATAACATAACGTTAAATAATTAACTTTCTATACACTTATTATGTATTAAATCTCTGTCATTTAAAAACTATATATTTTTATTAAAATTGGTTTAACACTGTACTTGAACTGTTTTAACATTAAAATGTTGAATAGGCTTGGTTTGGGGCTATCTTGTAAAGTCTTTCACCATTGCCATTGAACGTTAAAAACAAGGTCATCGTTCTCCATCGGTGGGTAGGGTAAAGTGAGCGGGTCGCGTTTCAGTGGCCCTTTTAATCCTTTATCCGATGGCTTCCGTGTTAAAAAATGCTGTGCGCCTAGCAACGAAGACGCTCCATGAGTCTAGCAAGTCAGGCGTTAAAGCAACCTCGAGGTTTTTCCATTTTTATTCTCCGGAACCATGTCACCCGATCCCTGATAAGTTGCCGAAATGGATGTCGGCGGAGGAAGCCGTGTCGGTCGTGAGGTCCGGTAAGTGACGCTAAATATAACTCTAATGATGTTCTACATTGTTTAACACATTAATATTAACATAGATGACACATGCTGTCATTTTAGTGGAATGCAATAACTTATTATCTCGGAGAATATGGAGTAATGTGTTTGAAGGTCATTTGGGGTTGTCCGAGTTGTTTGGTGACCCCACGATGACCGCTTGCACGTCCAGGTGGGTCAGTTGTCTTAAAAGGTCGGGTCTTTGGGGTTAAATGTTGGTCTGGTTGTTGTGTGGGCTGACTGCTGTGCAAACCGAATTACTTGATTGTTTGGATGCTTGTAATAATTTTGATAATTTGGTAAAACAGGGTTGCTGCAATAAAAATATAAACGTAACATTATTACTTACTTTCAGAATGCATCTTGATGCAGTTTGGAGGTTATAAAAGTTGAGATATGATAAAATGACATACCCCCCCCCCCAAAAAAAAAAAAAAAAAAAAAAAAAAAAAAAAAAAAAAAAACAAATTAGAGTGCATGAAAATTTTGAAGAGTTAATTGACCTGCTATAATTTGCAAGCCTTGAAGGTTTAGTCAATGCCCAAGATTAAAAAAGTGAAATATAATTAAAGGCAAAAATAGTAAATAGGTTTGTTCTCTTTTATATGTGCATAGACCTGTACCCGGTATATAATATAATGTAATAGGCCTCCTAGCTATAACATTAAGTTGAGAGTATTGATGGAGTTTTTGGGACAGCTTCTTCTTTAATGCAACTCGACGTGCATCTTGGCACGAGTGTACTAGTGTGTGAGCTGAAAAAAAAAAAAAAAAAAACTCAAGTAAGTTCACATCGCTGTGGTAGTAAGCAGTATTTCTTGGCCAGCATCTTAGCTTTTAGTCAATATTTTGTACAGTTACCATGATTTAAGCTTCCTGTAATAACGCCAGGAATTGCTCACATAGCTACATGTACCTGTACCTGTAGCACACCTGCGGCACACCTGAAGTACTTCACATCTAGCTAAAGGTTGCTGTGTGGTATACAAACTATGAGAGTGCTGCAAGAGATTTGATCTTTGAGCTATGAGAGTTTAAGCACTTTTTGTTCTGGTACTTCAGTATAAATATCAGGTGCAAGTACTTATGTAATACAATCTTGCTGCATCACATGTGTTACACTCAGTGTAGTAAATCATGGACACATGTTTACCAGGGGCAGATCCGGGATTATTTGAAGGGGGCTCTGCGGTAGTGAGGCCGCCCTCTACCCCCACCCCCCACACCCCCACCCCACTGAAGGGCCCTTGCTTTTCTTATGTTTTGAGCTGTATTCAACATCAGACTCAGAAACAATATCATCAAGTCTTAGGCAAAATTTTGGTATTTTAGAGGACCAATGGTGCCATTTGGTATGGTTTAGAACCGTGATTCAGCTAGTCAGAATTCTAATCTCAAGAGGGGACCAGAAAATCGAAGGGGGGG